GAATACCTGAGGGAAGCCGCAGTGACACCACCATTACCCATTCCCACCGCTGCACCTTGCTTTCAGCGAACCTGACGGTGAAGGGTTGTCGGGCCATGTGGACCAAACTGTGAACGCTCGCGGCAGTGTCCGAAAAATTGGAAGGCTTATTTCTGCAGTCTTTCATGTCCTTTAAAATCCTAAGAGCCATAAACTTTGATGGTATGAGCCATGAGAGAACTTTTCCTTCCGTTCTATTCCGCTCTGCATTTCCTTCATGTGCTGTTTCTTAATGAACTCGTCTGGGAGGATAAAGCACTCAGTTATGCATTGGCTGGACAGAAAACAAATTAATCTAATGAGATCAACCCCCAGAAAAGGGGTACAGGAAAAATCTAATAGATTCTCGAGAGAAACAGAATTGAGTGAAGAGCTTTCACCGACGAATGACAAAGGCCGTAATGAGAAGTCATTCGGTTGACGTTCCTGATGGACTTTGAGGGAGAACACTGCGAAGGCGTTGAGTAGTGCAATCAGCGCCGAGGAAGTCTGCGAGGCTATGATGCGAATGATACATTTTGGGCTGGACGTCATTTCTGCACAGCGATCCTGCGTGCAAACACAGCTGCCTGTCCCAATCAACACTATCATAAAGTGAAAGTGCCGTCTGGGAAAACGCTGCACATTGAAAGACGTGCACAGCTTGGCGCACTTTGGCATGGGGGAGGGGCATTTTGCTAATCCGAACTGATCGCAACCAATACTTCCTGTGAAGACGTAGAAAATCTTGCAAAGTTGTGCAGTAGCAGGAGGAAAGATGAAGAGTTGAGCTGGTCTATCACGAGAAAAATTTGCGATTATTAACTTTCCGTTTCGCGCTGGCCTCTTCTTATACGCATAGATAGGATGTGAGGGGAGCACAAACCATGCCTTGCAAAAATTGCAAAAATGGGTACGATACCAGCGTCAGATACCCAACGTCAGCCCAGTTTGATAGGCTGGCTGGTGGCAAGGATTCGTCACAACCATCATGACAAGTCGCAAGTATCAGTGTAAAAGCTAGGACGTCACCCGGAAGTGGCGCGCAGAACCCTCGCCCGAGTTCTGTGGTCAGTATGCGAGGGCTACCGAGGGTGAACGACCTCGGCCAAAGAAGCTAGTTCGAATTGGGACCCTGAACGTGGGGTCGCTTACCGGGAAGTCTCGTGAGGTTGCCGACCTCATGAGACGCAGGAATATCCAAGTCCTATGCCTGCAGGAAACGCGATGGAAGGGTGCGAAGGCCCGCGAGATATCGGGAAAAGGTCGTCAACACTCTTCTACAATGGGTAGGACACAGCCAGAATGGCCAGACCATAGCGGTGCAGAATCTCTTATGGATTGCGTCCTCTGCGGGACAGCAATCAGTGATCGGATTATGGGGCGAAAAATGGACACGGGAAGGCAGGAGTACTACTTGGCAGTACGACCGTGTACTCACCACCAATCCGGGCGGTGCTTTTTTGAGGCGTGACAAGGTTGAGTTCTACCTGACCCTGGACGAGGCCATAAGATCGGTTCCGGAAGATGACTACCTCACCATAGCTGGGGATCTGAATGGCCATGTGGGAAGTGACAGAAGGGTCTAGAAAGGGTGCACGGAGGCCACGGAATAGCGGCAAAGAACAGCTTGTCCCTATCTCGCAGGAACGCGTTGGCTTCATCCGAGAGGTCCACACCGCACATGCCATACTCCATCGCCAGACAACTGATGCGAGAAGTGCCAGAAAAGCGGCGACCCACTAGCCTAGCCTTTCCAGGAACCTTAAGCATTCGACCGCCTGCCTCGGCCTGTACTCTGGAGAGCGCTCAGAGAACGTAACGTTCCGGAGCACCTGGTCTCCATAGTAAAGGATATGTACGATGGAGCTAAAGCAGCTGTACGCACCCCGCACGGCTTGACGAAGGAGGTAAAAATCACGGTTGGGGTACACCAAGGATCAGCCCTCAGCCCGTTCCTCTTCCTCCTGACTCTAGATGTCATGGCAGAAGAACTCATGGAGGGACCGCTGAAAACCATCCTCTACGCTGACGACATCGCCCTGATAGCGGACAGCAGGGAGGAACTCCAGGACAAGGTGCAGCGGTGCGGCCAGGATTGTGCCTCGCTGAGAATTGCGACCTCTGGTGAACGTGAGAGACAAGCCTCCTAAGCTCGGCAAGGTGCACCGAACTCATCGTAGACTGCCATGGTGCAGAGGCCTTCACTAAGCGGGTCGACGACTTCCAGTACCGCGGGAGACCTGCAGCTGGTGGCAGAGGTGACCAGGCAGTGAAGGCGCAGAATCCAGCGCAGCTTGGATGAAATGGAGGAGCATCCTGTGTGACGGCGGTGCCGAGAACGCCTCAAGGGCAAGGTTATAAACAAAGGTATACGCGGCGGTGGTAGACCCACAATAAATCTACGCAGTGACTCCTGGCCCATCTGCAAGAACTATGAAAGCAAACTCCTGCGGTTGGACACGACTCGACAGAGTCAGAAACGAGGACGTCAGGCGTCACACAGACGGCTCCGAGCTGAAGGCACGAGAGCAGCGACTGCGATGGTATGGGCACGTGCTGAGAAGGCCTGAGGACCACCAAGGAAGGCATTGGAATTCGAAGTAGAGGGCAAGCGACCACGAGGAGCCCCAAAGAAAAGATGGAGGGACGTCATCAAGAAGGACCTCACTGAAGTGAAAGCCACGGCAGAAGAGTGGATCGGAACAAGTGGCGACGTCTAACAAGAACAGCGGACCCTGCGACGGCGCGGGACTAACGCTAGGGAGAAGAAGAAGAAGAAATCGGGGGTATACAGGGTCAGTGAAACTGAGAAATCAAGACCAAAGGAGAAAAGAAGGAAAGAGACCGAGAACATTCTTCACATTGTCAGAAGCAAATACGAGCGTCCCCTCACCGCGAAGACTCATTACGCCCCCTCCCCTCTCTAGGATTCCCAACACGCGTCGGATCCCTGTCCATAAGCTTCGGCGACACTTGTTATACCCCATATGACAATTGGTTTTCGGGGGTGTTACAATCTCGTAGCTATTTTCTGAAGAAGCTAAATAAAACCTGAATTTTTTGAATAGTTCACTCGCATCCTCTCACAGTTAGAAAGCTGTGACAGGACGCATAAGACCCTCCCGCACGTCCTAACGAGCACCCTGCTCCCGGACTTCCCTATGAAAGATTTCCTCCAGTATACAGCCAGGTTGACATGAAAACTGAGAATTTGACCTACCAATTATTGGTTCCACTTTCACAGAGAGAGCGCTACTACTTTTGCTCATCTTCCGTCCGAGGGCACATGCGAAACTCTGTGCTACCTGTATGCTTCCGATTTCCCACCCCCCCCCTCTAGATATTTCCTCTTTGTTCGAATTTTTAACATGGACAGCTCACCTGCATTTTCAACTATTTTCCTTTTGTTTGGTGTAATGACAGCTCTATTGTTATTTTCATTTCCTTTACTTATTCTTATTTTCTTTTTGGTCAACTCTAAAACTCCTTATTTCCTTATTTACTTTGATTACTGCTATTTCCTTTATTTATTATATATTATTTTCCATTTGTTAACTCTAAAACCACCACTTACTGCGAAGATACTTTAAAGGTTCTGGATTGCTCCAATGTGCACCCTTCGCAATCAGCCACAGGTCCTACTCGTGCATAACAAGGCGTTCAAAACGCCAGTGAATCGTAGTTGAAATGATTGGGGAGGATCGTTTTCCTATTCTTTTGGACTCTCTTGTGATTTCTAATCCATCTTTCAAACTGGAGCGTATTTGTCGATAACTAGCTCGTCAACCAAGTGGGCGGGCGGCACGAAGTTTTCCCGAGGCGCCATTTACAATCATCACTTGCGGCTAGGTCTGAAATCCATGCAGTTTTGAGCAAGCCAATGGCAGTTTGGCCAGAATTTTAATCATTTCTTTTCTTTTTTATCAATTAAATCAAGTTATAAGGAAGAGACTCTCCCGCATATACCTTGTTGGCGTGGTTTGACTCCACTGAAGGGATTTTTTCAGAGATGGGACAGCAGCAGTCTGGTTTCGGTGGCAAAGGAAATGAAAGAGGTGGTGGCGATGCCGATAAGGAAAAGAAGAAGAAGTACGAAGCACCTATTCCTTCGAGAATCGGCAAAAGAAAGAAGGTCCCCAAAGGACAAGAGACACCAGCCAGTAAACTTCCTGGCAAGTAGGTGTCAATTAATGAGAATCCTGCTCATCAATAAATGAGACCTGTTCAGCGTATATTTGGGAGTCCTTTATTCCTGAGCGGTTATGATTGTACTCGTTAAAATGTTTCAGTTACTCCTCATGCCCGATGTCGCCTGAAGCTGTTGAAGAGCGAACGAATAAAAGATTATCTTTTGATGGAGCAAGAGTTTATTCAGAACCAGGAACGTCTCAAGCCACAGGAAGAACGTCAAGAGGAGGAAAGAACAAAGGTGAGTTTGTCTGGAGTATTTTTTACTCGCACTGGAAGCTTCTGGCCGCTACTGGAATCCTCACGTACAGAATAAGAGGGGAATGCTGCGCCATCCCTACTGGGAGGGGGCTTTTGGCCGCGCCGTTGTATCCCTTCCCCGAAAAAGTTTATGCTCAGAGGGTCGACGACCAGGTTTGCCCAAAGGTGGCCCAGCAGAGAAGACAGCTTTCACTATGTTTAAACCCTGATTAGAGGAGGGATACAGGGGCACTGGCGAGAGGTCACGCCCCCCCCCCTTCACCTGTTCCAGAAGAATTGCTTTCTATGGCTCTCTCTTCCTTCTACCAGAAAGAGGAGGCGCTATCTTGTTTGGCGGGCTGTCTGATGCCGTTTTTCGCCTGTTTGCAGTAGGATCCTGAGCCAAAAGTGAGAATTTTCACCCAAGCCCTGCAGCCATTCATTCCCTCTGCTTACCCAAGCCAATCCATGGAGGGAGGACTGGCTCGGGAAAAGCGTTCCCCATACCGTTTATTCGAACTAAAACGTTTGCTGGACCCACCCATTTCTTATATTTGCTTCAGGTGGATGAACTTCGAGGTACCCCGATGGCTGTCGGATCCTTAGAAGAGATCATCGACGACCAACACGCCATTGTTTCCACGGTAGGTCCTTTACAGATTTGGCCGTACTCCTTTTCGCTTTGCCTACCGTAATAGGCTTTGTAGCAATCGTTGTTTTAGAACGTGGGAAGTGAACACTATGTGAACATAATGTCATTTGTGGACAAGGAACAGCTGGAGCCAGGATGTGCTGTTTTACTCAACCATAAGGTGACTGAATTGAGTTAGACGCAGTTTGGCTTGGTAGGGCAACATACGGTGCTCAGAGAAGTTTGTGCAGGCCATCTTGTGAGGACCTGTAAACTCTTGTGACCAAAATGGCTCACTTGTACAATTTTGCAGCTTTGAAAGAGTTTACAGGTCTTACCAGGGTGAGACCTGATAGTTAACATGAACTAGCGAAAGGGCTAGCGAAAGCGTAAATGTCCCTCCAAGCCGAACAGTTCTGTTCAGCAGTGCTTCTGTGAATCCATATTCTCTCGTCATCTTAGAAATAAGCGTTTACAGAACCATGCTGTCATAGGAGTACTCGCTGATGATACTGACCCTATGGTTTCAGTAATGAAGCTTGAGAAAGCACCACAGGTTGGATACTACTTTATTAAAACCCAACTTCTGTGTAAAGAACCTACATTTCGGTCTTATAGGAAACATACGCGGACGTTGGTGGTTTAGACCAGCAAATCCAGGAAATCAAGGAGTCCGTTGAATTGCCGCTAACACATCCTGAATATTACGAAGAAATGGGAATTAAGCCACCAAAGGTGCTTGCATTGCATATTGCGTGTCAGAGATGTTAGCTGATAAAATAGTGTAATATGTTTCAGTGTGTGGTGTGATCCTTTTACGGCTGCCCTGGAACCGGTAAAACGTTACTTGCCAAAGCGGTCGCTAACCAGACGTCCGCCACTTTCCTACGAATTGTTGGCTCGGAACTTATACAAAAATATCTTGGTGATGGTCCGAAAATTGGTGCGAGAACTGTTCCGCGTGGCCGAGGAGAATGCTCCGGTAA